TTTTCTTCACCATTCTCATTCTCTTCTTTTTTCTTCATTCAAGCTTTTCTATCTTCAGCAAAACTTTCAGTTTCTCGATTGTTGAAGTACTCAACTACATTTCCAATTTGGCCATTCTCTGAAACAAAATCATATTTCTAGTGCTCTTAAGCTGTTAATGTTTTGCTGGATTTTTTCACAAAAGCATTACCTGAGATGATCTCATAAAGAGTTCTTGAATATCTAGCTCATCTAGTAAGAGAGTCCTTCCTATGCGGTGTACTGCCATGCTCACGTGCGACTTGCTGTAGGGAATTTTCAGGAGTTTTTTTATGTTCTTAAAAAATTAAGAGAAAAAAATAGTTGAGAAAGACTGTTTTAGTGTGATTTGCAATCTTTTAAATTTTAGCTTCATTCATTTTAAAGCATAATAAATCTTATTTCCTTAAGGTTATACAAACAGAACTTTAAACCAAGAGCTACACGCAAACACACAGAGGATGGAGCGTTCAAACCAGAATCACGTAGACTTTATGAGTCACACTATGTCAGTGACAGTCGAACATTTATTTTTAAATTTTTTTTTTTGAGATGGAGTCTCGCTCTGTCGCACAGGTTGGAGTGCAGTGGCGCGATCTGGGCTCACGGCAAGCTCCGCCTCCCGGGTTTACGCCATTCTCCTGCCTCAGCCTCCAGAGTAGCTGGGACTACAGGCGCCCTGCCACCTCGCCCGACTAGTTATTTTGTATTTTTTAGTAGAGACGGGGTTTCACCGTGTTAGCCAGGATGGTCTCGATCTCCTGACCTTGTGATCCGCCCGTCTCGGCCTCCCAAAGTGCTGGGATTACAGGCTTGAGCCACTGTGCCCTGCCCAAACATTTATTTTTACATGATAGGATTTCTTAAAGTTAAGGGTGGATACGTCACACTGTTATGCTGACCCAGGCTTCTAGCATATCAGATCAAAGCCAATAACGATCAATAGATTTTACTAGAAATATCATTTGTAACTCAATTGGTAACATATATAGAATAATCCCAAACACTATAATCAGTTTCAATTACTATCATTAAAATATAACCATCAGTATTATTACCACTGCCAGTGTTTGGGGATTATTCCTTCCTCTTTAAATAAAAATGTGGTAAACAATGATACTTTAATAACAAAAAAGATATTCAATAATCAGATAAGTTTTGTCTTATTTCATCACTAATTTCTCAAGACTTGCAAATTTATATCATGCAAAACACAGCATGGTATAAAACACCTATCACAAAACACCCCCAAAATTACACTTACTTCAGAGTCAGAGACAACATCCACATCATTTCCCACTGAATCAATAAAGTCGTATGCCATGCCAAAGCTACCAAAGAGATAAAAGGACACCGGTTATAAGGTCATGCTCATAATCATGCAAGTAGAATTTAATAACAATACTTCATTGCTTCTAGGACACACATTTTCCACATTTTAACAACTCTGAAACCAGGATGCGTATCACCATCACAGCTGGCAAGTTTTTCTTCTTAGTGGCACTAAAATCATGCTGTGTCTGAGAGTCAATGGCATCTTAGATTTGATAAGACATGGTAATAATCATTAGAAGCATCCAGTAGGAAATATTTCAAATAAAAACAATTATTTTATTTTTGTAATCACAAAACCCAAAGTCTCCAAGGGAAAATAGTTCAAAACTTTATTCTTTTTAGGTGGAGAGATGAGAAAAACAGAAACATGTACTAGGATTTTACTTTCTGAGATTGTGTTTCTAGTGATATACAATACCTCTTTTAAAAAATATACATGAAAAAAATGCACCTGACACCAATTCAGCCACAAAAGGAAATGGAAAAAAACTGTTAATTGAGCAGCCAACTGATGCCACGTACCACCTGAGGCACATCTATAGTCTATAAGCCTGAAAGGTACCCAACATCGCCATGTTCCAATTACTAAAAGGCAGAGTCAGGACACTTACCAAGGACTGCCTAATGGCAAAGCATGCTTTGTGATTTACTGTATGCTTGAGTCAAATTATTTCACCCTTCTCAGCTTCCGTTTTCTCAGGTGCAAAATAATTAACAATGCCTATCTCAAAAAGTTGTTGTGAGAATTAAATAAGCATATAAAATACTTGGCACGGCATTTGTATAGAGTTAATATAATTATTCAAATTTCCTCGCAACATTTAATTATGTTGACAAATCATAATTAAGCCATTCTTTTAAAAAATGATATCTGGGATATTCCCAACTTTTTGCTCCTATAAATGATGCAACACACAAACGTATTTTTGCAAATATAACTTTTATTTTCTGAGGCTTTAGGATAATTTCCAAACTACCAGCTCATAAAGTATTAGTGTATTTGTGCCCCTTGCTACAAGTTACATGGAAATATTTTAGATTGAGTGGCTGAGAAGGGGGAAGAAGAAAAGAGAACCCCACACATTAAATGGCCTACAATATGGACATTAGTACATTTTTCTCTATAGGACCTCAGGCTACTCTCTCAACTTTAAATACCATCAGCAGAATTTCTGGTGCCAAAGTTAAGGTGTAGGTCACCCAACATGCTGGGTTTTTAAATCTGGCTTTTCCAGATCAACCTGCCACCATTTAATGAAAAACTCCACAGGAAAGATGAAGTAATGTTCAAGGTTTTCCTCCTCATGCACCAAGCTGATCCTTTATATTCATATATTCAAAAGGTATGCAAATTGGCTAAAATAAAAGGGCTGATTGAACTTTGGCGGTCAAAACTCATCTTTGCTAATAACGTGATGCAGACTTGAAAGAAGCATATGCAATTGATATTGTATGTACATCTTCATATTGTAACATCATCTATTATCAGAATAAAAAGCCTTTGAAAATCAAATGTGATCTTTCTCTAAAGAGAAATCTCGACAAGTTAATGGGCATTACAAACTGAATTTAAAAGCAAATAAGAGTTTTAAGTGAGGGTGGAGGGGCAGGTAAAAATGCCACTGATTAATATTTACCTTGAAAATGGCTTGCTTTTCTTGCTGTTGCCAAGAATGGTAGTTCCTGCCGGCCCTAGTTTGGCACTCTCTCGTAACCAGTTGGCAGGTGGGAGTTTCAAGTCTGTTTTCTCTTCAAGGCGTGCAAATGCTGTTCGAGGAGGGGCAGAAGAGTATTTCACCACAGCTCGGCTCTTCACTTCATTGCCTCCAAGAAATAAAGCTGATCCCTAATTAACACATTGGGTGAAACTTTAATGAAAATTACTAGGAACGAAAAATCTCACCTTCATAAAAAAGAAAACAAGGACCTGTCACACCAGGCTTCACAAGGAACGGATGCCACATGTTACTAACAGCACTTAATAAATTTGAGCATAAACGCTAACATTTATTTAGTTCTTTTACACCAACTTCAAAGAAAAAAGATGAGTCAAGGAGTATGATGGTCATGGTTATCAGCTAGAAAATGGACCACCTACTCTACCTTTTAAAATTTATTCATATAATGTGGAGAAGCAGAAACCAAGGAGACTCAATGGTAACATGTTAACTAAATGCAAACTTCAATAAAGTCTATTTTCAGTATCGAAGATGTATTTTAATTCTTTTTTTTTTTTTTTAATTTTTGAGAAGTAGTCTCGCTTTGTTGCCCAGGCTGGAGTGCAGCGGAGCAATCATGGCTCACTGCAACCTGGGCAACCTGGGCTTAAGCCATTCTCCTGCCTCAGCGTCCCTAGTAGCTGGAATTACAAGCTTGCACTACCACGCCCGGCTAATTTTTGTATTTTTAGTAGAGACGGGGTTTTGCCATGTTGGCCAGGCTGGTCTCCAACTCCCCGACCTCAGGTGATCCACCCACCTCGGCCTTCCAAAGTGCTGAGATTACAGGCGTGAGCCACCGCGCCGGACCAAAGATGTATTTTAATTTTAATAACACATCATTCATAAAGTAGTGTGGTAGAATATTTGGGCCTTTTTTTGTTTTAATGCAAATATTTAGTAATTGATGCATCGGTTCATGCATGTATGCATGGTTCAAATAGTCTTGAGTCTCTAACTTCATAGCAAGGCATGGGGGGTTCGTTCCTCACAACCTGCACCTGCACACTCCCAAAGCAAGTTCAGTGTCTGGGTTCAATATTCTAACCTTTCACGCAGTCCCTTTTCTGCCTGGCAAACATTTTACACCTTTTGTGAATTAGTTCGGTCTCATTCTCGGCGAGTCACTGCCTGGCACCGTTTCTTCCCTCCTGCTTTGCACGACTGTGCCACGTTTTGGAACGACATATTTACAAGAACCCTCCTTGAGAGCAGAGATCGTATCTAACTCACCTGTCGGCTACCAGGACTGCTTTTAATACGAATACCTGCCGAAAGGAACACGGACTTCCACTCCCTGTTTTGGGGGTGTCAGGGAAACATGGAGAAGCCTCCAGAATCTGCCGGGAACCGTGGCATCCCTCCCCGGTGGAGCGGATCCTCGGCTCCCGCATCCCTGGCAGGTGCCACTCCGCGGAGGACTCACCTGTGCAGAAGGTTCCTCGGATTCTCCCTGGGACAGGAGGCTGAGCCCTCCTCGAGAGGCGGCCCCCGCCGGCGGACCCTCTGCTCCGGCCTCCTTGGGATCCCCCATCACTTCGATCCAAGTCAGGCGAGACGAAGGGGGAGCGGAGCAGCGGCAACAGCCACCCGGGCCCAAAACAGGGCAAGCGCCAGACACACTCCGCGGACCGCACTTCCGGTCTCTGCCAGGAAGAAGTAGCTGTGACTCCACATTAAATCTCGCGATCTTTGTCCCATAGGCCCGGCCCCGCCTCCCGCTGCGGGTCCCACCTTCGCGGCCAGGGCGGGAATTGTAGTGCGCCTGCGCTTGTCCGAACCTCTTCGGGAGACTGCTTCTCGCGGTATCTGACTCCTAGGTTCCGCCCCCTGCACGCCGCTCGCGGGATCTGACGCTCAGGCTCCGCCCCCTGCACGTCTTTGTTGGCAAACAGTTCTGGGGGTGGTGCGCGCTTGCAGGTAATCTGCGCGTGGGAGGGGACGTGCAGCCCACTGCGCTACTGTTGGCTCCGGTTACGTGAATTAGTGAGGGCTTCGCACTTCTTCCCCAGGCTTCAGTGTCACCTCTTTTCACACGGGCACCCCGAGGGCCCGGACTGGAAAAGCGAGCCTGCCATCTCAAGACTGGGCGCCCCTGCCCGCCTCTTAGTGCCCGTGTGGCTCCATCCTGGGTGTGGGAGCGGCGGGGCTTCCGGGGAGGACGCTGGGACGCGCGGACGAGGCTCCCGGTTTAGGGAATGGGTGGCTTTCGGAGGCTCCTGGGGGCCCGGCATGCCCGCTGCTTGCGGGGCGTCCCAGGCTGTGCAGGATCCCTGAGACGCTGCACCTGGGGCCTCATAACGCGTATGTTTTCATTCGGGCGCTCTGGGTGGGCCTGAGACTTGGCGTTTCTCACAGGTTCCCAGGAGGTTCCTTGGAGTAGCCAGGAGGTGGAGAAATAGCCCGGGCCGTTTGCAAGCTTTGAAGGTCCAGGCTCTCTTACTTTCCCACTCTTCAATGTCATCTCAAACTGTCAAACGCAGCCACATCCATCATACATGTTTTGTAGTAAAAGTGTTTTGTTGTGCCGTAGGATGCAGAAAGTGTTTTTAAAAATTAACTTGGTTCCTGCAGTTTGGCTATCTCAATTTGTAATTCACATTTGGCTGTGATAACTCACTGTCCTGTCCGTTTTCAGGAATGCTCCTGATGAGCAAGCATTCAACTCACAAATTGCTTTCAAATGTAACAAAACAATTTTATGAATTAAATGTAACAAGCCAGGCGCGGTGACTCACGGCTGTAATCCCTGCACTTTGGGAGGCCGAGGTGGGCAGATCACCCGAGGTCAGATCGAGACCGCCTGACCAACGGTGAAAACCCATCTCTACTAAAAATACAAAAATTAGCCAGGTGTGGTGGTGGGCGCCTGTAATCCCAGCTACTAGGGAGGCTGAGGCAGGGAGGCTTGAACCCAGGAGGCGGAGCTTGCAGTGAGCTGAGATTGCACCACTGCACTCCAGCCTGGGCGACACAGCAAGACTCCGTCTCAAAAAAAAAAAAAAAAAAAAAAAAAAAGCCAATGTGCAATATGATCTTAATTTTAAAAAGTCTCCATTTCTGTGTCTGTGTCCACAAAAACAGATCTGAGTCGTGAAATGAAGTGATTTAAATTTATTCTTTAATATTTTCTTTTCCTATTTTTATTTGTGATTATTATAATATGTAATTTTGTTAAGCTTTTACACACATACATAATTCAGCTTGTGGTAATCTTTAAATTCTGTTGTTTTATTGTGTAATTCTATCTTTGTAAGAAAGAAATAGCAGTAATTCTTTTCTCAGGATTCAAATATTTTGCATGCTTCTTGAGAAGTGAGTGCCTAGACACGTGTTGATGATGCTTAGTGGGAAAACGTGCTGAAATAGCCCGTGAAAAGACAAAGTATGAAACAGAACCAGGAACTCAGCACAGAAAAAGAGGTTGGCAGCACACAGAGGATAATGGGAGCTCTAAGGGTGACCAGGGACCCTTGGGACTGACTGTGGAGGAAAACCTGAGTCAGGGCTGGGTCTCCAGCAGCCACACACAGGACCAGGATTACAGTACTGTAATTTAGTTCGTAAAGGAGCAAGATTGCTGGGGGCTGGAGCAATTGGGCACATCTGGGTTACATAAAATTTATATATGCCTCTTGCTCTAAGAGCTTATTAATTTTTTCTTTTTCCCTAGTCAAACACTTTTACATGCTGCTGGAGCTCATAGTGGTCAGGAAAATTTTTTAAAATAGGTGAGAAACCCACTTTTACATGGTGTAGTGTTTTTTAAAAAGTTATTGTCACTTTTTAATATAGGAGGTTGGAATATTTTGTGGGAAAACATGGAGGATAAGTCATTACTCTTAGAATTTCAAGTTTTCAGACACTAATTGATTTTCATTTTTATATTGTACCAGTGTCTGCCTGTTTCCTCCATCCCTGTCCTCCTGCCCCAGGGCCCCACTTGGGATGTACCCCGTCAACCGTGGCCTGCTCTGCCTTGTCTGTGTAGTTATCCTGGCTCTTGCAACTACCCATGGCTCTCACGTGTTTACCTGCCTCTTCAGTGCCTGATGCTCTAGCTACTAAGAGTGTCTGTTGAATGAATGAGCAGTGTGCTTGTTTGCTGCTCCAGCTACTTGTTCCATAGCTCCACGTTTGCTGGTGCTTTCCTCTGCCTAAAATACCTTTTCCTTCCTCACCTGGCTTCTCTCCTGACACCTCCACCTCCTTACCCCTCAGGGTTCCTTCCTTTGTTCCAGTCGCTTGTATTGCTTTATCCTGCACTTGTCACATTATAGAAAAATTACCTGTTTGTATCTGCCTCCCTTCCCGACTGTGAGCTCCTCAAAGGCTGGAGTCCCGTCTGATCACTGACACCAGGCACAGCACAAGCCGACAGAACTGTTTCAGCCCTTAGGCAACGGAGGGAAAATGACTGGGGCTGACAGGCTTTTAAAATGCTCATCAAAATGTTTGAGACATAAAAACAATATTGTTGGCTCCAAAATATTTTTTTTAATCTGCAAAATCAAAGCTAAAAATGTTTAATGAAGTAGCTCTGAAATACTGCAATGTCAATGTCATTAATTATTAAAGGTGGTATTGACATACAGTTTGTTCCATTCTAAAACAGTTTGTAGATAGACTTTCTCAGTTAGCAAAAATCCTCCCAGCAGGCAATGATTTCTGAGAAAAATCCCAGTCATTTGTAAATTCAGGTAGTTATTTGTATAGTTTCCAAAACGTTATAGCAAGACAATTTTAAGTTAGGCAAATGTGGTTGGGGCTCCTGCCAGAAGAACAAGTGGCCAGGATGCTCACGGTTCTTATCTAGCCTCACGGGCAGAGCATGCCAAACTTGAAAACCTCTCAACTCAGGGACCATTTGGGGAATATGCTTTTCAGTTTGCCATGGGCGCTTCCACAACCTAATGTCTTACCCGTCACCAGCCTCATTTGTTTACTTTCTGGATCTTAGAAAGTTTTGAATTTCTGGCTCCTGATCCTAGACTTTTAGAGCTGAAAGAGATTTGAGGTCATCTGAGCCAATCTCTTGCCTCTTTAGATGAGAGCAATGCCGTCCAGAAAGGAGAATAGGATCGACTTGTTGAACATCATACAAAGGTAGTTACAAAGTTAGGACTAGTACCCAGGTCTCCTACCTTAGCTTTCTAAAAAGTCAAATAGTAGACATAGGCCAGTGGATTTGAAGTTGTCTCATAATCACCTGAGGAACTTGTTAAGCAAACAGATCCTCCAGCCACCTCCAGAATCTAGTATCTCTGGGGTAGTGCTGATTCGTGTACATTTTTACTGCAATTGTTACGTTTCTGACAACCTTGCCCTGTAGATTATACCTTTGGATAGTGGTCTCCAAAGACAATCCCCTGGGGTGCAGGAAGACTGTTTTTTTTTTTTTAATCTGACAAGTAAAGGCAAAATTAAGCTTTACTAATATGTAATTTATGGATTGACACAGGTGCCCTTCCTTGGGCCATGGTGAGCTGGTCACATAAGATTGGGTTATACTGACAAACCCAATGATCCCCAAGTGTCAGTGGCTTACAGCTGGGTTAGCCAGGTCAGTGGCTTACAGCTGGGTTAACCAGGTCAGTGGCTTACAGCTGGGTTAGCCAGGTCAGTGGCTTACAGCTGGGTTAGCCAGGTCAGTGGCTTACAGCTGGGTTAACCAGGTCAGTGGCTTACAGCTGGGTTAGCCAGGTCAGTGGCTTACAGCTGGGTTAGCCAGAGAAAGAACAGGATGCAAAGTTAAATTTGAATTTCAGATAAACAGTGAAAAAATTTTTAGGATGAGAATGTCCCAAATATTTAGCATAAGTATGTCCCATCTGATGAAGCAGCCTCAATCTGGAACATTGCCAGTTGCAGTAGCAGAGACAAAAAGAGGTTGGTGCATTGCAGACTAGCTCCAAAAGCTTTTGGTCAGAAGTGGCAAACATCACTGCCATTCATTTTTTTTTTTTTTTGGCCAAATAAATCACATGGCCAAGCCAAGCATACGTGTGGCAGGGGAGACTGGACCCTAAGGAGGGATGTTGGTTATCCATGACCATTATGCAGTCTACCACAGGCATATATGGTGGCTTGGATAGGCTATTGGATGCCATTCACAAGGCCAAATTTGGTGAAAAAGCAAAGCCTTTTGCAGAATCTTTTCAGAGTTTTGTGATGAGGGGTGTCTTAGTCTGTTTTGTGTCATGATAACAGAATACCTAAGATTGGGTAATTTATTTTTAGAAAAGGTTGATTTAGTTCATGGTTCTGCAGGCTGGGAAGTTGAAGCACATGGCTCTGGCTTCTGGTGAGAGGTTTCAGGCTGTGTCATAATATGGCAGAGAAGATCAGTGGGTAAGTGGACATGTGTGAAGAGAGGCAAAACCAGGTGGGTGTTCTGACTTTGTAACAACCCACTCTTGCAGAACTAACCAATTCCTGAGAGAACTACCACACTGAGATCAAATTTCAACATGAGTTTGGTGGGGACATACATATATCCAGATCACAGCAAGGAGTGACCTTGAAAATCTTGTATCCCACAGAGATCACAGATCATCAGTAGTAAAGCATTCAAAAGAATTGTCAAGCTTGAAAATGAGTTACTATATTTTCTTTTATAAAGAGTGTTCTACATTTTCTCATCTTATCTGTGATGACATGTAGCTGTCATTAGGATGATACCCAAGCGAAAGTTTCACAAAAACAAACAGACTGAATCTGTTTCTTCAAAACAAAGGTGATGTTTTAACAATGAGTAGGCCAGGCGGGTGGCTCACGCCTGTAATCCCAGCACTTTGGGAGGCCGAGGCGGGCGGATCACAAGGTCAGGAGATTGAGACCATCCTGGCTAACACGGTGAAACCCCATCTCTACTAAAAAATACAAAAAATTAGCTGGGCATGGTGGCAGGCACCTGTAGTCCCAGCTACTTGGGAGGCTGAGGCAGGAGAATGGCGTGAACCTGGGAGGCGGAGTTTGCAGTGAGCAGAGATCGCGCCACTGCACTCCAGCCTGGGCAACAGAGCGAGACTCTGTCTCAAAACAAACAAACAAACAAAAAAACAATGAGTGGGAAAGTATTTGTTTTTGTTTTGTTTTTTTTTGACAGAGTTTTGCTCTTGTTGCCCAGGCCAGAGTGCAGTGGCGCCATCTCCGCTCACTGCAACCTCTGCCTCCCGGGTTCAAGCAATTCTCCTGCCATCAGCCTCCCAAGTAGCTGGGATTACAGGTGCCCGCCACCATGCCCAGCTAAGTTTTTATATTTTTAGTAGAGACGGGGTTTCACCATGTTGGCCAGGCTGCTCTCAAACTCCTGACCTCAGGTGGTCCACCCACCTCGGCCTCCCAAAGTGCTGGGATTACAGGCATGAGCCACCACACCCGGCCAGTATTTGGTTTTCAAAAGAATCTTATGGAGAGCATTTTTGAAAGTAGATGTTTAGAAATCTTTCCAACATTATGTGATTTTTGTCTCTAAAAATGATGTATATTGCTTATAAAAACTCATATCTGCACACTTAACTTAGAAACTGAAATTCCTAACCTCTTTTAGAAATCTTCCAAATGGAGAGGTTGAGTTTTAAATATATTGAGGAATTCTAAGGAGGACAGTGGCGTAGTTCTGGCTTACTTAAGGCTTGCGAAGGGAAGAGAGCCAGCAGAGCCCGTCCAGAGGCAGCAAGCCTCATGTGCTCCTCAGCCACACCGTCAGGGGTTCGAAAAATCTGTCCACACTTAATTGTTTTCTTTGATACTAGTTGTCCTACCCAGAACATCCAGACTGATCTCTTTATCAGCTGCCAACTGATTTGTTTACCCCAAAAATATGCCTGCAAGATTCACGATTCCCAGGCTGCCAGCAGGCTTTTCTGCCTCCTATCTGTTATACATCCTGTTTTTAATTTTGTTCCATGACAACAGTCTATTGACCTTTCTTCTTGTACAAGTAAACAAATTGCATATAAAACAACTAACTAAAAATCTCTGAGTTATTCCTTGATACTGTTTAATTGGTTTGTTAAAAAAAGACTGATGGACTTCAAAGAAGATGGAAATTTAACTAATTACATTTCAGTTAAAACCTGTGCATGATTTGTGCATACAGTTGAAATGAGCAGTTGGATTTAGTAAACCCTGAGACCATGTAATTTTTTCAAGTAGGCTTGCTTATCTTTTGAGATATTTTAAGTGATGACAGCCATTAAAACCACATCTTAAAATAAACTTGACTTGGAAGGAGACCTCAAACTGTTATACCACAAAGTTTTCAACCAAGATTCTCAAAAATAAAGCCTATTCAGCAATTTTGCTCTTTTAAAAAATATTAATGAAAATATAACTAATTTTCAGTCAGTAAATTAAAATGTTACATTGTTTTCCACTTGTTTTATGTGCATGTATTAGTGACAGTATAGCATTTACAAATAAATATACATGATATTGGGGTCGCATGTTCAGAATTTTTTTTAATTTTCATATTTTTAGAGAGCACCCAGGCTGGACTTGAGCTCTTTCCTGGACTTAAGTGATCCTCCTGCCTCAGCCTCCTGAATAGGTAGGACTACAAGTGTGAGTCACTTTACTCAACCAAAAATGTGTTTAATAATGGCGAATGATAACAAATGTTTATAGATCATTGCTTCTGAAAAGACTTTACTGGACATACTGTGGTACCCAAAACCAAATGCTAGCTACTTTTTAAGTCAAAAATAATTAGCCAGCTAATGACCTATATTTTGCTTTACAGTTTAACTTGACAAGAGTAGAAAAATGTCAAGGTACAAGACAATGCAAAACGTAAGGACAAGGGAGTAAAGCTTCCCCTTTCACCCTCTGAAGGTTTGGCTGAAAATGAGCTGAAAAAGGCAGAGCAACAGGAGAAAAGGCATGCGTTTATTTTAACGTGCATACCACGGGGAATTGCAGAAGAGTAATGACCTCATAACCCAGCAGGGTCCAGATGCCCGTATACCCTCTCTTCGTAGGTAAGTGGGGGATGAGGTGTGTAGGAGTAAATGACGAAAGTTCCTCTGAGCTCTGGGGGAGGTGTTGGGAGGATGGGTGAAATGTCACCTTGCACAAAGGTTGTCAGTACTGCCTTCAAGAGAACAGATGAGCAGTCTGGGTGTAGTGACAGCTTTGTCTCGTCTCTTCTTTCCTGGCCATTTGATGAGATTCCTAAAGAAGGGAGTTCTTACGACTATTGCCTTTTTGTCTTGTTTTTGGAAAGAAGCTTTGTTAGATAAGAAAATTCCAGAGAGTCGGTCCAGTCCCTCCAGGTGCTTCTAGAAAGAGGATCAGAGAAACAAGGAGGTAAGAAAAGTCAGAAAGAGAGCTTGGGTCTAAGGCTTATTTCTAAAACCTTTCGATTTTCAAAGTACTCGGCATGCCAAAGCACTATATTTTGGGGAATCATTTTCTGCACCCCAACAAAACCTTAATACACACTTTTTCAGTGTAATAGCAAGACACCCTTGGTTATAGCTATCTGACATTTAATCATTAACTGATAATTATTTCATTGCTGCTCTGTAGATTCATAACAAGCAGAGTATTTGAAGTTATTGAAACTATTTTGACTGCATTTGAAGGAGTTTATTTTCTGGACACCTGATGAACTCGAATTCTTTTCCAAGCTCTTAGCATTGACTTTCAGGATACAGTGCAAGTGACTGCAAGGGTAGACTGTCTCTGCTAGGTATCACTTTTGCAACAGAATTGTTCTTAGAGTCTTTGTGAGTTTTCTTCTGAAGCTGATTAATATCCTAAATGAATCCCAGGAAGAGTTTCAAAGTCACTCATGTCTGGTCTTCAGGCATGTGGGTGGCTGGAGCCCAGGCAGTTATTCATGCTGCACATGCACCTTAAGCTAAGGATGAGAAGGAAAAAATTCTCAAATGAACCTTCCAATCAATCTGATAGAGACTGCTTGTGAGTTCCCCTCTGCCTTTCCAGTGAAGGGCCTGACCTTTGCAGACCCTATTGAGTCCCTTAGCTATTAAACATTTACAAGGAGGCTTCCAATGGAGAGAACAAAAGGACAGCGTTGCTTAGTGCAAAACCATCAAGTGTCAAAGCCACTGACTGGACCTTTTTACTAAATATTTCTATAGCATTTATCTTCCCCCGTGCATTGAAGATAAATATATTTTACTTTCTCAGTGTCATGCAGTCACAAGGCACCCAGTAATAGAATCCATTGCTCGTGAATGTTGGACAGAATGGTAACTACTGGATGAACCAACGGTGTCATCCACATATGACAATTTTTTACATATTTATTTACATGTTTTTTTTCTCTCTAGGAAGTGGAGCCAGAATCCACAGATGTCATTATCCATCTGCACACTTTGTTTACTACCCAGAAGGCAAGAATATTGCATTTTAAAAGTATCCGGACTTTTGTTCTTTATCACAAATGACTTGGGAAGCTCTGACCACTCATGTTTACCCTGAGTGAAAGTCCCAGTCAAAGCCTTGCTTCCTGGAGAGCTTTGAGATTCTGGTACAAAGGCATTTTATAAGCACAAAGTGGAAAAGCATCATTCATATTCATTTGCTGCTGTGGCATTTCTCCCTGGAATCTTCCTCTTGTCTGTCAACATTAGGCAAAAGGACTACTCCTCATGTACTTTACAAATATTCTTGTCATGGTCTGGAGGTAGGAAAAGGACACCCAGCACAAGAGTAAAAAGGGAAACTCAAGCTCTTCTGTTGGAGAGTCTCAGGCTTCTTTATCCATAAAACTGATTGGACATAATTGGTGTGGGTTGATGATTTGTTTTGGAAAAACCCGAGTATGAAATCAATACCGTGCTTTGTGCATCTTGGCTGCAATGAGTGTTTTTTATGTGATTGCAGGGACCGGTGGGAGAGGCGGCCATCCGGAGGGCTCTCTGAGGGGTCATTTAGAATGCAGCTGCTCTGGGCAGAGGATGGTCTGGGCTGGCCTCCGCTGCACTGAGAGGCTTGCAGAGTGGAGAAACGTCCACTAGCATGGCTTCTGTGAGGTGCGGGCAGCTCTTTTCTTGGCGTGGGGCTCTGTTTGGTGTGATATAAGAGATATCGCAGGGCTTTCCTGTCCCGGAAGATCTTGGTGGGTGACACCTGTGGGGGTTGCCAGCTGGATTAGGTGAGGCAGAGCACACAGCTCTACCTAACAAGTCCCATTCTCATCTGGGAATATTCCAGGACATAGGGCACTACCCAAGAGGCAGAGCCTGGAGTGCCATTATACAGGTGAAAGATCTGAGTGCCAGGTCCATGTAAATGAGGTGGGTTGGGGTGGTCGAGGTGCTTAGAGAACAGGAGAACTGCCACAGGAAGGGATGGTACCCACAGGGAGGAAGACCCATGTCTCAGACCCCTTCCTTTATACCTCTTCCTGGGACCTCCTCGGAGTCTGCAGATCAGCTGCTGCTTCTCCGTCTTCCGTCGTCGTCTTCAAACCTTTTCATCACAAAAAATGCTGAGTGTAAACCTAAGTAGAGAGAACAGTAAAAGGAACTCCCATGAGCCGTCACCATCACCTACCATCAACAGCGATCAACACATGGGCCGTCTACGTCCGTCTTCCCTACTTGCATCCCCGCTCCAGATTATTATCACAAGTAGCTCATCCCTGGTTATATTGCATTTAATCCTCTCTGTTGCATTTTTTTCTGGCCACGTTCTTCTGTCTGTCAATCATTGTTTTAAGTCAGACAGTCTGCTGGGTTGGCTAGGAAAAGACATTTCTCAAGAAAGACTTCTAAGTAATTTTGAGGGAAATATTCAGATTGACCAAACAAGGTATGCTTGATTTAGTTCAATTCAACAGTTACTTATTGAGTCTGAGGCTCAGTGCTGGATTCAACATATCAGTAAAAGATGGTTTCTGGCCTACAGGGTTCAGTGCTCGAGTTCTGGGTGTGGGACGAGGGCCATAGCAAGTATTCACTCCAGAAAGGCAGAATGTGGCCACTGAGAAAGGAAAGGTACAAGGTGTAGTGGAGGTTACAAGGCATGACAAACACACTGGGCTGGGAATGGTGACAGTGGAAAGGATCAGGAAGGGTCGTGAAGCCTTAGGCATTGGAGAGACACTTGGAAACCTGGGCAGACAGTGGGACGGTGACTGCAGAGCACTTAAATGTGCAGGTGGGAATGGCAGTGGGGGGCAGGCGAGCCTGGCAGCGAGAACACATGGTGCAAGGGGCCCGGTCGGGGACGGACCTGGGGTGGGGGAGGTAGGCAACTGGGCTCTCAAAGAAACCCTTGGGCTTTTTCTAGCTTAATAACTAAACAATTATTATTTCTAAGGAAAAAGAAAACTGGATTTCTAGAAGCATGGCTATTTAAAAAAAAAAAAAGCAACTCCAGACCCCAATTAGGAAACTGAAAGGAAATCAAAGTGGGCTTAATGGAAATTAGGTAGTAGGGGTAATAAAAGAAAATGCAGGTAGCTGCCGAAAATCCAGTGGATTCCAGGTCCACCAGCCAGGCACCACATTATTTTAACCTATAAATGAAGTATGTCCATGACTCTCACTACATAAAATGGAAGTTAAGCCATAGTCCTTTTCCACTGTGCTCTGAAAATATACTGTTTTTGCCTCTGCCAGCAAAGCAAATATATAGACAGAAAATTCCTAGCACTGCTTTCACACGAGGGATAACAAAGGTGACAGACTCGGGCAAACTGTTCACATTCTACATATGAAATGGAATGGTAACTTGATTTTTCAAAAGGATAAGATTCTCATTACAAATGTAAGCATATTTATTAAATAAAACTCAAACTGTAGTAAAATGTAGAAAGGCAAGGAAATTCATGGTCCCACTACCCAAATAACATATTTTTTTTTTCAGAATTTTGGTGTTTATAATCATTTTGGAACACGCTTTTCATACTGAACGGCTTCAATATTTTATCCCTACTCTCTTCCAGCCCCCTCATTCATTGTGATTATCAGTGAGTTTGGGGAACCGTACTGACTTTTTAAAGAGTCAATTCTCTTTTGAACTCCGATTTCAGAAGGGGTACAGGGAATCATCTCGATATAAGTGTTGATATAAAGTTTATTCTCAGATACTTGTGAAACCAAAAACTCTGTGCTAACATTTGCAGGGCTTTGGGAAAACTGCACATGGAGGTCTGAATAGCATATGTCCAAATAGTTGAAGTTTTTATAGATTAAGCTAACTCATTATTAAAGAAAAGCTGCTCTAACCTCCTTCCTTGATAAATACACCTTGATAACAGCTGCCCCTTGGAAGCTATTAAATATGTTATGTCCTCTTGACTTCATAACAACTGTCCCTTGGCCAGTTGGGGTGTGTACACCAAGTACACACTGGTTTGGGGTGTGTACACCAAGTCCTCTTGGGGACAGGCCCTAAAAGTAGGCTTGGAGCCATTAGGGTCAGTTCCCTGGAGCTCTAGGTGCAACCTGTCTCCTCACCCTATGTGGGGAGTGGTGGTCAGAGGAGGGCCAGAGTGGAACCGCAGCCTCATGGGGCCCAGGACAGGCACGTCTCTGGCTCTGGTCTGAGTGAATCATTCCATATTTCCTATGTGCAGGTCACGTGCTGGGTGCTGGGAACACAAAGGTGAGTAAAAACCGTCTAGTGGGGGCACACAGACTTCCAAATAAGTGCCCCCTAAAATGTAAATTTGCAACTCTGAGTTGACTCAGGAAAGTTAGGAGGAGGTAACTTTGCAAAGAAGGAAAGAGAAGAGAATTTCAGGCAGAGAGAAAAGGGTCAGCAAAGTCCTAGTGGTGGTGGAGAGCACAGCCAGAGTGAGGCATGAAAAGCTAAGAGGACATGGGGCTCAGGTGTGAGTTGGGCTGGACAGGCAGTGGGCACCAGATCAGGAAGGGCCTCTGTGGCCTTACTAAGAAACTAGGTCCAGCCACAGTAAAAGGCTTTTAGACAGGCGTCACATGATCAGGGGCAATGAGGCTAGACCAGGCTACTAAATCAGTCCAGGCTAAACCTGTTCTTTTTCCTTTTTTTGTTTTTTTAAGAAAAGCAAAATATTAGACACTCAAAGAAATGTGAAATATGTAAATATTAAGTAGACATTTGATAATATTAAGGAATTAATGTTTTCTGATAATAGTTTTGTGTGTTTGTTTTTACTTTAATTTTAGGTTTGAGGGTATATGTAAAGATTTGTTACACAGGTAAATGCATGTCACTGGGTTTGTTGTACAGATTATTTCATCACCCAGGTATTAAGCCCAGTACCCAATAGTTACCTTTTCTGCTCCCCTCCCTTCTCCCACTCTCCCTCCTCAAGTAGACCCCTGTGTCTGTTGTTTCCTTCATTGTGTTCATAAGTTCTTATCATTTAGCTCTCACTTATAAGTGAGAGCATGCAATATTTGGTTTTCCGTTCCTCCATTAATTTGCTAAGAAGAATAATTTGCCTCCAGTTCCATCTATGTTCCCACAAAAGCCATGAGCTCATTCTTTTTTATGGCTGCATAGTATTCCATGGTGAATATGTACCAGATTTTTAAATCCAATCTGTCATTGGTGGGCATTTGGGTTGAGTCCATTAGACCTGATAATTCTTTGGAATAGTGGGGGAGAGGAGGAGATGGAGTGAGTCAGACAGGCTTCAGGGGGATATAGAAAATCAGATGGCCAGGGCTTTGTGTATGGATTGGGTTAGGAATGAAGAGGAAAGTAGGCACCAGGCATATCTGGTTGGATGAATCATGTATTAGTCCGTTTCATACTGCTATAAAGAACTATCTGAGGCTGGGTCTTTTATAAAGAAAAGAGTTTTAATTGACTCACAGTTCTGTATGGTGAGGGAGGCCTCAGGAAACTTACAGTCATGGCAGAAGGCAAAGGGGAAGCAAGGCATGTCTTACATGGCAGCAAGAGAGAGAGCGAGGGGGGTGCCACACTTTAAAAACCATCAGATTTCATGAGAACTCACTATCACGAGAACAGCATGAGGGAAACTGCCCTCATGATCCAATCACCTTCTGCCAGGTCCCTCCCTTGATAGGTAGGGATTACAGTTCTAGATGAGATTTGGGTGGGGACAGAGAGCCAAATCATATCAAATAGGATGGATGAGCTGGGGACACTGAGAGAGGATGAGGGTTGAAGACCGGTGAGGTCATGAGCTGGCTTTGGGACATGTGCACTTTGAGATGCCTTTGGAACATCTGAGAGGGTAGCAAGTAGACACGAGCATGTACTGCCAAGCTATGAAAAGATGTTGGGGCTGGGTGTGGTGGCTCACGCCTGTAATCCCAGCACCTTGGGAGGTCAAGGTGGGCAGATCTCTTGAGATCAGGAGTTCGAGAACAACCTGGCCAACATGGTGAAACCCCATGTCTACTAAAATACAAAAACTAGCTGGGTGTGGTAGTGGGCACCTGTAATCCCAGCTACTTGGGAGACTGAGGCAGAAGAATCGCTTGAACCTGGGAGGTAGAGGTTGCAGTGAGCTGAGATTGCACCACTGCACTCCAGCCTGGGCGACAGAGTGAGACTCACTCTCAAAAAAAAAAAAAAAAAAAAAAAGAAATTGGGGCTGCAGATTTAAAATATGTAGGAGCCATCCCCATGGAATTGGTGAGGTAAGCCATGGAGGTGATACCTGAGGAAAGGTACCTGCCTGCTTACCTGGTAGAAATGAAACAATCCAAGCTTTCCAATGCAGATGAGAACTTTAGAAATGAAATCACACAAGCAATGAACTAAAATGAGAAAGGCAAACCTTCTAGCAACCTTGCATCTAACATTTGTCACTGTAAACAGGCTTGTCATACACAAATCACTTGCAACCACAAGGAGGACTGTGGATCAGTTGGTCACTCTGCCCAGGTCTTTTTGTGCCTGTGACTTTAAATCAGGTTCTTGTTACTTGCACACCATTTTGTGGTGTGTATTTGTAAATATATCTTGCCAGCATATTTTATGCTTCAGTTAATTTAGTTGACATCTAATTTAGTTGACATATAAAAATAAAATCAATTTTCAGACAAAATACCCATAAAATAAGTGAAATGCTATAATAGGTTTCAAGAAATTAAAATGTAATATATTTAGGCTTCTATTCTAAAGCAATTTCATCTAGAACAGCAGATACTGTGGATGTATTTTTTTCTATGCATTCTTGCCAATTATATAATAATAAGTGTTGCTACTATATATTGAGAAATTTATTGCTTGGGGTAGTTTGTCTTAAAAAAATGAAAATTTTTGTTGGGGTTTCCTTTAAAATGCCAAAGAGCCTAAATATGAATACTTTGTGTATTGATGTTCAGGCTGTAATTAAGCCATGACAATGATTATTACTTTGGATGTAAACACTATCACATTTTCATTGGGTGAGTTCTTTTTAAATTAATGTTGAGTTATGTTCTGTTTATTATCCTCTTTGCTTACGTTTCCTGTCATTTTCCAGTTGTCTGCTTGAATTCTGTTTTTCAATAGTGATTTAGCAACTGATAATATATACTGGTTTCAGTTTTGCTTCTCATTTACATTTGTATCTGTTTGGTTGATGTATTTGGCTTAATCATTTTATTTTTATAAGCAGTTGTACAATTTGTTAATTTAGCTAGATGATTAAATTTGGCTTCTAAAGAGAGTTTGTTTTAGAAAATAGTCCCTGAAGTAAATTAGTGTTTGGCATTTCCAACATGTCAAAGGAGCTGGTTTCTTAACGATAACTAGAAATGTAACTCTGAATTCTCAAAAGTGGTTTTGTAATTTTAAACCTCCGACTATATGAAGCTGTATATTCCAGTAGGTGGTGCAAATCGACTCCATTTCAGATGGAAATGTAATTTAAACTTGTGATGTAACTGTTTTCACTGTAAAAATAATATTTCAACATGTTTCGCAACTGCAAAATTATTTTCCTCTCTTTCTAAAGGAAGCTTGATTTACCCTCTCAATGCTCATTTTTCTTATGGTTTATTCCTCAGGTATCATTCTGATCATTGTTGTTATAGGAGAGATGAGAGGAAATTAGAGGGGCTAGAGGAACCAGCAGACCTGTTAAAAATCATGAATACAAACAAAGGTCGTTTGCTTCTGTGCTTCAATTCCATAATAAAATGAGAATAATGTCAGTATCAGTGTTCTAATAGTTTTTATATCCACATGATTAATTGAATGCCATGTTTTTTCTGTTGTAAAAATTGAGGTTATTTCACTTCTAGGAGTCTGATATCCTCACACAAGCACATAAAATATGTATACAAGGATATTCACTGCAGCATATTTTTAACTTTTTTCATTCATCCCAGTCATATATGTGCACAAGAGGCAGCAAAGTAGGATGATTAGGAGCAGGGCCTCTGGGCAGCCTGCCTGAGATGGAGGCCTTACCACGTATCTCTGTTTCCTTTTCTGCAAAATGCAGATCCTCACAGGTACTGCTACCGCATCATGGCATTGATAGGAGGATTATGTGAGCATATATGTAAGTGTGCAAAGCATGCCTGGCACGTCGTAAGCACTGCATCAATGTTAACTGTACCTCTAAAGTAAAATAGCACTGAAAGGATTGCAGTGAAAGGCAGCATTCTCTTGCAGTCTTCCTCCAGCCTCTGAGTGTCACTTCCTGGTGGTAAGTCTTCCTCCAGCCCCTGAGTGTCACTTCCTGGTGGTAAGTCTTCCTCCAGCCCCCCAGTATCACTTCCTGGTGGTAAGTCTTCCTCCAGCCCCCCAGTATCACTTCCTGGTGGTAAGTCTTCCTCCAGCCCCCGAGTGTCACTTCCTGGTGGTAAGTCTTCCTCCAGCCCCCGAGTGT